CTTTTAGTTCTGTTCCTCCAGGCAACTTTACCTAGTACATCTGGTAAAGGGTTACTTTTAGGTATGTCTATGAAAGTGTTTCCTGAAGTGAGTGCATTGACCAGGTGAGGACAATATACCCATAATGTGGATGAGTACCATCCAATCCACCAGGGACTCAGAGAAAATAAGCTGAGAAAGGGCAAATTCACTGTTCCATTATCTGTAACTGGGATATATTCTTCCTCTCCCTCACTTGAGTATGACATCTCTTGTGTTCATGACCCTAGGACTTTAACTACCTCCTGGATTTTCATGCCTTTAGCTTCTAAGTGTTGCACCATGTAGTAGTTTGAATGAAATTGGCTCCCATGAGCTCTTAGTGCTACTTTTAGGAGCCTTGTTGGGGTAAGTGTGCCCTTGATGAGGGAAGGGTGTCCCTGTGGGGGCAGGCTTCGAGCTCTCACATGCTCAAGATATACCCAGTGTGGGACAGACTTCTGCTTCTGCCCATGATCAAGATAAAGAACTCTCAGCTCTTTTTCCAGCAGGATGTTTGCATGCACACTGCCATGACCCACCATGATGATAATGGACTAAACATCTGAACAATGAGCCACCCAAATTGAATGTTTTTGTTTTTGTCTCATGAGTTATTGTGATCATGGTGTCTCTTCACAGCAGCAGAAACCTAAACAAAAGTACCAGGGACTGGGGTATTGCTGTGATAGGCCAGACTATGCTTTTGTTTGGAGGAATATGGACTAGGGGACCATGGGTTAGAAAAGCAGTTGGTCGCTGTAAGTGGGACTTTATGGGCTATGAGTAAGAACACAAAAGACAATGATGCTGAGGGTGACTGGAATGGCAGGGGCATCGATTAAGAGGTTTCGAAGGAGAAAAATATTAATATGTGGCCTAGAGATCTTTCTTGTGATATTTTGGTGAAGAATATGAGTGCTTTTTGTCCTTGTCCAAAGAGTCTGACTGAGACTAGAGTGAAGAGATTTCTATTAATTCCATCTGCAAAGGAAATCTCAAAACATCTTAGTATTGAGTCCGTTGTATGGTTATTAGTAGTCATTCTTATAAAGATTTAGAATGGAAAGAAGCAAGCTGAGCAAGGAAAAATACACTTTGGAGAGAAAGGGAAGACTGGGAAGTGGAATCAAGCTAAATCCTGCATTCAAGGAGATAAACAGATTAAGATATAGAAGAAAGGCAGTGGTGACCCCAGGGCAAGATCTCACCCAGCTACCGTTTCCAATTTGTGGAAAGGAATTAAAGAAAAGCTTAGAGCCAGGTGGCAGTGCACACCTTTAATCCCAGCACTCCAGGGGCAGGCAGATCTCTGAGTTTGAGGCCAGCCTGGTCTACAGATCTAGCTTCAGGAAAGCCAAGCTTAGGCAGTGAAGGAAAGCATGGAAAACAGAAGGCTGCGAAGATGTAATTGACTGAGGGGCAGTGTTTCAGCCCAGGGAAGTAGCAGAACGTTGCAGCCTTGGCTATGCAGCTCTGATTTTAGAGTAAATGATAGAAGAAAGGGTTTAGGGAATCATCATCTGCACCTAAGGAAACTGCTAAGGCCAGGTATATGTCTGGGTATCACTCTGAATGGAGGCTCAGCAAGGCCATTGTGTGAAGCTGTGAAGGTGAAGCCTGGATAGCTTTGAAAATCCCAAGATATTGGAGATTCCAGAGCCACCTTGAAGATGCCAGATGGCATCTGCCAAGGAAAGCTGTTAACAGGGGGTAGATCAAGCCCAAGAGAAAGAAGCATGTTGCAGTCAACAAGCTGAAAGCAGATGGAAATCTGAGGAGCATTTTGTCATCAGACAGGGAGATGCAGGGTTTTGGAATTTCCCATCGGTTTCTATCTTGCTTTGGCCCAGTATTTCCTCACTGTGCCTCCTCCTCCCCCCCAAATTTAGAAATGGTAATGTATGTCCTATACCATTATATGTTGGAAGTATGCAATCTGTTAAAAAGAAAGACTCATCTCAAGGTAAAGAGCACTGGAAATAGCAACAATACCAACCTCTGGTCTCCACTATGTACATACATGTACTCTTAGCCACATGAAAATGCTCAAATGAACACATATATACAACACACACACATAATACACACATGCGTATAAAGAAATAAGTTTACAGGATTTGAAGAGATAACTCATCAGTAAAGTACTTGTTAGACAACTCAGCACACTCTCTCAGCATCAGAACCTGAGTTGAGTCTCCAAATCCCATGTGAAAAAAAAAAATGCATGGTGGCACACACTTGTAATCCCAGAGCTGGTAAATTACAGACAGGTGATCTTTGGGGAATGCTCATGAGTTCCAAGAGAGTGAGAGACCCTGCCTCAAAATAAAATGTGGACCAAGGAACCGCACATATATCCATACCTGCACACATATGTTAGAGAACATTGCATTAGTCTAAGTGAGAGACGAACATAATTAACAAGGTAGCTCGTGTGTCCTACTTAACAATTCATAAAAGCTCAAGCATTTGTATTTAAAATTGACCTGTTTTCACAGAATTCTATGAGCTAAATAGAATCAGTGACGAAGCATGAGGTACATAGGCTTTGCAATGGTTTGTCATCTGTTCTTGGCGCTTCCGTTTCTTACACAAAACTTTAGATGAGCACATAAACTGTCTAAGCCTCTGCTTCCATTTCTTTGGAGTCCACAAAACAAAAACTCGCAAAGTTGAGAAGACTAAGTGTGATGGTGTATGTGGGGTCAATGTGAACAGCCCGTTGATGTTGAAGAAGCCCCCGGACATGTTAGCTGGTGATTTACTCTCATCTGGATTTTCTTTCTTAGCAAAGAGCACAGCCATGGAGTTTGAGAAAAGGCACAGTGTTAAGAGGCAGGAGGGCATCAGTGGAGGTAGACAGACAGCCTGTCTCTCTTGGGCCTCAGAGACCTCCCTGCCAAGTGAGTACTTCCTACTTGTTCATTGCAAGGCTGCCCTGAAGCTCAGTTCAGCACTAGAGAAAGCGGCTTCACAGGTCTTAGCAGTTCCTGAAATGGCAGAGGCAGATTCAGCCTGGTATAATAGGGATAGAGTGGAGTTCAGGGCAGAAATAATGGTTTCAATCCCTCTCTTCTCCTGTGACACTGGGCAAAGCACTAGGAAACTTACTTTCCTCCTCTGTGGTAAGAGACATAAACTAGATGGAATCCTCAGTCCTTTCTGGCTGGGAAACTCTGCTGTCTTACAAGGTTCACCCCTGGCTTATATTAGACATCTCAACACAAGCCTTTCGCCCCTTCCACTTAATCCAGACTTGAGTATATCCCATCACCCACACAGGTCAGGAATGTACGAAGCTTCCTGTCTCAACAGCTAGGGACAAAGGGAGGAATATAATTCAAACATAGAGGATTTAAAAAAAAAATCTGAACTGCTACTCAATCTGCTAAGTCAGGATATTTCAGGAGGAAGAGATCTGGGAGTACCCATTGCTTAAAACCCAAACCAAATATTTTCTTTAATATTAATGACCATGGTGTTTGAGAATCACCATGAAAGGAGAAGGCATCTTTCTCAAAGTCTGGCCCACAGATCACTCTGCAGTTCAAGAGTCTAAGATGCTTCCTGAACGCAACAGGAACAGTGGCCAAGAATCCATCCTGAATGTTTTCTCGAAGATTCCAGAGACCAAAGGAACTCATAAAACAGTTTATGGATGTTTACTAAGGAAGTCATCAATGGATAAAAACTCAAAATTTACAAAATGACATAGATGAGATTGGGAAATAGTAATACAGACTTGCCTCATATCTATGTTGTACTGTCTCATCATTTCATTTAGTTCCTATTACAAGCTGTGAAAGAAACACCATAGCATGCATTCTACTGTCAAAACTAAACATCATCAGAGAGTTCAGGCAATTTGCCCAAAATTAGAAAATTAATAAGCGGAGGGTTTAGAACCAAAAAGTAATGTCATGTAGCTAGGAAACGGGTCACACCGCTACAGAATGTTTAAGAGTTGAATACATCCTTTTAATAGACAATTTACTGCATCTTTTCTGATGAGGCAAGTTAAAATATGTTAAGTTACTGTTGACTGGTTTTATTAGCTACCCCATAAATGGTAAGATTAGTATAGCAACCATAGATCAGCCAAGATAAAATGAGTATTAACTACTAAGTAACAGTGATTCAAGGGTTTCTCTGGATCATAAAAAGATCTTAAGCAATGATCATTTCAGGTCAGCAACCCTCAAATACAGATACAGTTACTACAGCTGTGAAATCCAAACATGTGCTGTCCAGGTTTTCCAGCTAGTAAGAACCCTAGCTGGTACCCTTGCTTTCCTTAACTCTCTTACCACTGTCCCTAGAACTGCGCTCTTGACTTTAGTGATAAATAAAACAAGCTTTATTAAACTCTAAGTTTTCTTTCAAGTAATAAGATGTAAAAATACTATCATTAGATGTAACATTTGTAGGACACATTTCTACTTTTCTTTTTTCTCTTATTGGTTCCTCTAAATTTACCTAATAGCACATGTGTCTGTCTATTTACCTTAAACTCTAGACTAAGTAGAATAGGATAGCACTGAACTAACCCATTACACACAATTATTACAACACAGTAATAGGCATTTAAGGAATGTGTTGAAATTGAACAAACCTTAGCTATGAGATGCAACATGAGCTTTAACATTTTTCTAAAACTGTCAAGTATGGAAAATCCAAACCGCATGGCTTTCAACTGAATAAACATGCTTCCCTTTCCTGTATTCATACCCTTTCTTTTTCTCTTCCTTCTTACTAGTGTTTAACATGTAGACACAAGGTGCCTCATTAGGGCAATACATACCATACCACTCTCATAAAATGTGTAGATACAGATATGCATAGGGGACAATACAATGAAAATGGCATCAAGAAAGAGGAATTGGCTGTGTAGATATATTTGGTTAAACAAAGGAGTTATTTCTTTCCCCAAATCAGCATCTCATTTAAGTAGAGAAAAATAAAAAGATACTTACAAATCTGATTAAAAGGTGCTGTTCTTTCTACGACAAGTGAAGGGTGAAGCTGAAAATCTTTCTTTCCTGAAAGGGGGCGGGGGGGGGGGGGAGAGAAAAAACATTTAAGAACCAAAAAGGAGGATAATAAAGTTAATAATAACATTTGAATATTTTGACTAAGCTTTTACAAACAGGGTTAAACTATTAAACACTATGATTTTCCTGGCTTCCTTGGGAAAAGCAGAGCCTCTGAGCCAATGATGACACTGTGTGCTGAAATTTCAAAGGGATTTCACTCCCAACACCAGTTGTGCCTAAGATTATCAGCTACAAAATGCAGGAAGTCATTACTGCATCAGCACTGATCAAAGGTCACCTGAGTGGGGAATGGGGGGAGACGTCACAGACACAACACATGAGAGAGAGCAAACACTTTTGCACTTAACCACAAAAAAGATCATGTAAGAAAAACACTTGACACTGTTACACTCTTGAGAAGTTGTGAATGTGTGTCTAGCATCTCACGTTTAGAGCAAGGCCTTGCGTAGCTCATTTTGGAGTGAATTTGGAATGTCTCCTACAGGCTCAAGTCTCTGAACCTATGGTCCCTGGCTGGTGGGGGTGTTGGCTGTGGAAACTAGGAATTGAGACCTAGCTGGAAAGAGGATGCTACTAAAGTGGGCTTTAGGATGATAGCCTGGCTCTGGTCCAATTTGCTAAGTTTTCATTAACATGTAAGAAACTGCCTGCAGTTCCCAGTTCCTACAATGAGCCTGGTTGCCCTGTGTTTCTTGCTATGATGAACTGTATCCCTGTAACCCAAATAAGACTTCTCTTAAAGTTATTGTGTCTGTCAACTATTTTTCCACAGCAGCCCAAAATGTATCAGATTGCATTGTATCCAGGAATGTAGCAGAGACTGACACATTGTATCCAGGTGCCCAGCACAGATTTGAGAAACACAGAGAAGGAATCCAACCATCTTCATCCAGTTATGGAAACAAATTCCATACACTTCATTCCTCTTCACAGAATGGTCCCTGTCTCTTGGCATAAGCATCAGATACAAATAGGGTGGAAAGTAGCAGGAATATGACTTGCTAGTGTTCACGTTGGCCACTCAAAGCAAGACTGTATATTGCATACTCCCTTTGTCCCAGTTCAGTGTGAAATTCACCCTTTCTGAACTGTTTCAGCAATATCTTAGACTATATTCTTATATGCATGGTTGCTTCCTAAAGGTTCATTCTTTACCTGTATTTTGGGTGGAATCATTTCAAAGTAAATCTGCCCATGATCAATCCTTTCCAAACTTCCTATTCCTATAAAATCAAGCCCAAGACTCTTTATTTGGTCTAAATTGTCATGCACGGGTTAACTCCATTCTACCAGGCTCTTTGCTTTTCTCTCAAGCCCAATATACCCCAACGCTAAAACTCTAATGTTATCACCAGGCAATTGATTTATATTTGCCTCCGTGGCTGAGGCTCTTTACCCTCAATTTTCTCTAACCCCTTGCTAGCATCTATTGGTCTAGACTAGGTCAACTTGAGCATCACTACAACATTAATTATATCTAACTGTACTTATCCCATGCATTATAATTTTTCTCAGTGACTGCCTTCCTTCTCATGTTGTTTTTGTTTTTTTTAAAGCCTTTCAAGGCCATGCACAATGACTCATGTGTCTTATCTCTAGCACAGTATTTCACAAATTGTACAAGGTATACAATGAATAATTTGTTGAAAATCAAAGTAGGTGAGACTCTTTTGAGACTGCAACTGCCTGACTGCGTATTTTATTGCCTTGTGAGAATCCTACAAGTCAAAAGAGGACATTTTTAGCCATTATGCCCAACTTCTCATATGGTTTCTTATTGTTCCACTCATTCAGGGACATTTCCCTTCAGCAGACTCTTACATTTGTAGGCCAAATATAAGGAAGTGAAAAGAAGGAAATGAAAAATAAATGATGAAATAGTCATATGAGAAGTGCTAAGAAGACAGAATCTGCAAACAAATATTTATAAACTATAACATCTATATGCATACTAAAAATCCAAAATAAAGAAGTTTCTAACCTAACTTTCCTTTCTTTTTAACCATTTGCATAAGCTCCTTGGCAAAGATCCAGCAGATCTTGCAAATATGAATTAACTATGAAGTCAGGTAATAAAACCATGCATTGCTATTTCCATTTTTAAATTGTGATTAAAATCTGTATACTTTTATGTCCTTCTTAGAATTAAATTTAAGTGGGTTTTTTTGTTTGTTTGTTTGTTTTTGCTTTGCTTTTTGAGCAAGGGTTTCTCTGTGTAGCCCTGTCTGTCCTGAAACTTATTCTGTAGTCCAGACTGGCCTCAAACCCAGAGATCCATTTGTCTCTGCCTCCACAGCACTGGGATTAAAGGTATGTACCACCACTACCTGGATAAAATTAAATTTAGTTTTAATGTTATAATTTTGCTTACTTCGGTCTACAACAAGACAAAAAAAAATGAAATAGGAATAGAGCAATAATTTTTCTTCCAGATTACTTTTTGATTAAAGCTAAATAAAAATACCTCTTTGATAGACTTTGAAAATAGTTTAAAGCCCATTAATTTGACTCTTCATATGTCAAAATTAAGATTTACAGATATGATAAATAAAAATATAGTAAAAGTTGAGACTGAATGAATCTCTAGTTGTCCTTTACCATTATTTATTTTTGCACAAAATTACAGAAATTCCAAGTTTCAAGAAATTACGATTTTTATATTATTAACATACTACAAAATATGTATTGACATGTCCTGGAGTCATGCAAGGGGGGAATCTCAGTTGAGGAATTTTCCAGATCACAATGGCTTGTGGGTTTGTCTGTGAGGGATTGCCTTGACTGTTAAATAATGTGGAGGGGCCCAGCTCACCGTGGGCAGTGCTGTCCCTAGGCAGATGATCCTAGACTATATAAGAAGGCTATGTGAACATAAGCTTGAAAGGAAGCCAACAAATAGTGTTAGTCCATGCTTTCTTTTTCAAATTCCTATTAGATTACCTGTGCTGACTTATTTCATAATGAAGTATAGCGTAGAAGCTAAATAAACCATTTTCAGCTTTAAGTTGATTCAGGTCATGGCATTTGTCATAGCAACAGAAAGAAAACTAGAACAATATATCTTACATGCTTTTATTTTTATAAATCATAAAAATTACTAGACTAACATGTGCTCATAATTGTATATATGTTAAACGCTTAAAGGTAAATGTAAGTATGTGTTTGTGGCTGAGTGAGAATGACCTCGTAGGCTCATGTGTCTAAATGATTGGTCCTTCATTGACAAAAGTGTCTTTTGGAAGGGTTAGGAGGCTCAACCTTGTTGGAGGAGGTGTGTCACTGTGCATGGGCTTTGAAGTCTCAAAAACCCAAGGCAGGCCGTATCACTGCCTGCCTCCAAGTTGTGTATCAGGATGGAAACTCTCAGCTGCTGTCCCAGAGTCAGCTTGCCTGCCATGCTCCCTACAGTGACTGCCATGAACTTACCTGTAGGAGCCACAATGCCCGCGTGCTCACTCTAGGGAGGCCAGGAATGCTAAATATTCGGGGTTGTCTCTTCAAAGGGGGAGATGCATAACCTATTTTCTGCCTAAAGGGCTTATAGTAATAGGCTGGTGGCTTTTGCTCTGTCTGATTGATACAATAGTAGATCTCTCCCTGGTCCTTAAGATATAACATGAAATTCATCTATAGAACATATCTTTATGGAAGAGGTCACAAATACTTCACAAAGGGTGTCAATGTAATCATGTCTTAAGCTTTGTTGTACCTATGGGATTTAGTTGATTATCACCAGGAAACATTCCCCCCCCCCCCAAATTGTGCTGTGCTTAAACATGCCTGAAATAACCAACTGGTGTCAGACTCTTGAAGTTGGGGCCAACACCAGCTACAGAGTTGTGTTGAACTGGACTTCCTTTGTGTCTGACGTGGATTGGTACTCTGATGGACATGTGTCTGCACCACATTCATCCTCTGACACTGCAAGCCAACACCCAATTCAATGCTTTCTTTCAGAAGTTGCCTTGGTGATGGTGTCTCTTCAAAGCAATAAACCAGTGCTTTTCCTGAACTTTGATATGTAATGAATAATTTTCACAATATGGAGACCACACAAGGTCCAATCCCCTCTGCAGTGTCGCTGCTGGAATTCCATTTACTTCCGAGCTTGCTAATACTTTGATAGCTAAGAGATACAAAAGGCAAAGAAAGCAAGTGTCCTCACCAAGATAGTTTTCATTCCTTGCAAGGAAAATGGGTCAAAATGTGAGTGTATCAGCAGGAATGCAGAGACAGACTCATTCGGAATTGGGAGCTGTCAGAGATCCTGACTATCATCCTGCCTAGTGACCTCCCAACGGTTTTATTTCAAATGAACTCACAAGACAGATAGAAAGATGGACACGTGAGGAGCTGCTACGGAGCCCACAGGTGCCTGGGTCTGAGGCTCTGGCTTCCCTTTCCCACATTGTTCCTCTTCCTAACCAACGTCATAGTTAGAAAACCGCATGGCCGTTTGCTGCTATGAAGGACTGGTCCACCGGGCTGGAAATGGAGCAACAGCAACCACCTCGCATCGCAACGTAATAAAATCTCTACAAGCATTTGTCCTAAGTGTCCTAAGTGTTTATCTTCCCCTCTGATGTTCTTTCACATGACTGGCTTCCTGCATAACTTTTCTGTTTTCTTTTTTTTCCAGTAAAGATCTGAATCTCCTTTAATAAATATTCAAATCATGAGTAGATAAGATTTAGGGTAATTTTTGCCTCTAGGGTTAGCAAAATAATGAACACATATTTTTCTCTTTACTACTGAAATTATGACAGGTTGGTTATATACGTTTCTATCTCACAACATGTAGAATTGTGGATGGAAATTTAGAAAGATTATATCAGTCAAAGGTGTGTCCTGCTATAAAAAACACTCAAGTTGTAGGATTGGGGATTGAAATGAGCTATTTTAGAACAAATAATAAACTAGACACAAGATAAATTTTACCTAAGCTTGCATTTCGCTGTTTTACAATTTCCATGAGATGCTAAGTG